GTGGGTCTCAACAACTTGATGTTTAGACATTGAAAGCAGCTGTACTTCAACTAATTGTAAAATTTCCTGGTAGCTTTACACAGATACCACTATATCAACTTACCCTTTCCTGGACAACAGAAATGATTACAAGTCCCAGCAGGTAGATCTAATCCTGGGCCATGGTTAACTAGAATACATGGAAACTGGATGCAGAGATGGCAACTGGAGATATCATCTGTTAGTTTATTACTCAAAGGTCTGGGCTGCCCAGAGAGCTGAGGTGAACTTGGTCTTGGTTGAGAAGGCATCAGGATCAACTAGGTATCCCATGTCTGCTTGGGGTAGTGGTGGGTTCTGGAGTACAGTCTCTGTACATTACCTGAGGTTCTGTGCTTTGGAGTAGCCTGATGTTGGACAACCTGTTTATAGTAGAACACAACAGGAACTAAACACTAGAAGATATAGAAATCAGGGTCTTGGATCTCCAAAAAAGGGTGGAAAGAGGTAAGCAGGAGTTTAGGGCCACAGCACCCGCCAAATGAATCTCATCTCACTAGGGTTTGGACATTCTCAGCTGCAAAGCTCTGCCCTGTAGGCTGAGACAACATGGCAATGGTGGTGGTGGAGAAAGCTCAAGTTCTTAGTGTGCCCCAGACTCTAGTAGATCTCTCCATACTGGGTATTGGATGTTATGGGAAGGCACATTGAGGTGGTTGGGTTATATACTCTATTCCAATCAATACTGGATAAAAATCAAAAAGGTTGGACCTGCCTAGGGAGGAAATCAATGCCTCACAGTGATACATGAGCAGGGTCAGGGAACAGCCTCTGAGAAGCCTGAAAGATTTATTGGGTGCAGAATCAGGATATGTGGGGGTCAATTCTGACTCAGGGACCATCTCTTGCATAACATAAAACAAGTTTCACAACCTTTCTGGTCTTTTGTTTCCTCAGTTGACTGTGTGCCCACTGGGGTCAGGGTCCCATATTTTACTCATGTTTATTTTAGTGGCATCTATCAGAGTGTCTATTCCACAAAAGACAGTCAATAAACTATGTGCTGTTTGAATGAGTGAATGTGTGACTGAATAGAAAGAACATGAGGAATAAATCACATCAGTGGTTTAAGGGAGAGTAAGGTACAGATTCTGACATCAATCCCCAGGCCCTTCTTTGAGATCAGTGACCCAAAATAATTACAGCTTTGTAATTCTCTGATTTTAAAAAAAATGAGAAAGTTTATTTAATTTTTTTCCCTCAGCATTCACTAGTCAAATGTGTTATAAAAATCAAAAACAAATCACTTGTAGCCTCAAAAAAGATCTTCAGAAAAGTCTATTTACCAGGAAAGCTCATGAGTGGCCCCACAGAGATAGCGTAGAAACCAGGAAACCCTTTGACATTTGCAAATGCCGTGAAACGCCAACAAACAAGATAATCACACTAAGATCAAGGGGGCAGGAAATAGATTAAAAACCTATAGAATTTATTTCATGTCATTATGGTCCATGTGCCCAGAAAGGGTAATATGTTCTTGGGGTGGAGACAAATGTCTCCTAATGTGAAAAGTCTTCTCCAAGACTTTGTGGGCACTTTTCACTTTTGCTAAAGTTGTAGGTATCTCCAACTTTAAGTCAAATTTTTAAACTGTGAATCAGGGGACTATCTGTTTGCATCTAAAAGACTTCATATAGACCTTTTTGTGTCTTGAGTGCATGCTTGTGCGATCGATAGGCAATAGGTAGATATTAAACATTATGGAAAGTAAAAGAATAAGGGAGAAAAAAACATTCATTAACTACTATAAGATAGCCAGTGTAAATATAGTTGTAAATTGTGCACTCTTTCTTTATATCCAATCTATTTTCTACAAAGAATATTTTTTAAGAAGTTGTGAATATAGTATATACATCTATCACATACACATATATAATATGTATACATACTCTTCTACCTCTTTTCCTTTTACATACCTTCAATATTTTTCAATTTGAATTTTTTAGAATTACATATATTGTAATTTACATAGCCATTCTCTTCTTTTCATTCTCTCTTTTGCCTAATCCAGTCGTGATGGGATATGTAGGTTGCTAACATTTTTTGTTAGCTATAATGCTAAGATGCATATATTCATTCAAAGATTTTTTCCCCCTGCATGTTGAATTATACCTTGAGGATAGATTCCTAGAAGTGGAATTACTGGGTCAAAGGATATGACTATACTAATGATTCTGAATCCATGTGACTAAGCAGATTTCTGAAAGTGTCATGCTAATCGACATAGTAGAACGCAATCTCATTGCTTTTCACCAAAAGTTATTCAAACATCAGCTTCCATAGTGACTGCCAGTGTTGGCTCAAAGATCTTACAGTCACTTGGCAGAGAGGTGGACAGAGGCAGGAAAAGGTCAGGGGAAGAGGGAAGAGACACTTAAAACTCAAGTGTAGTATTAGAATAAGAAGTCACTGATAACTGGCAATTGGTTAGAAATTAAGAAAGCAATTTTTTGAAATGTGCATCAGTATAACAGCAATCCTCAGTTTACTTAAATGAATATGGCATCAAAATAAATGATTTGGGGTGAACTGGTTGAAGGGAATGAACCCTATCACTAATTTTCCAGGTGGTCTTTGCAAATCATTTCCCTCTCTGAAACTCTGTCAACTGTAGAACTGGTTAGGTTGAAAGATGAGGGTAGAGACTTTTAGAATTTAGAGTATGGTGTTGTACTCACATAAGGAAGACAAACTCCTAGAGTTATGGGGCCCACAGTTTTTCTTTAGACATCCTGAGTTACAACTCTGATGAGATCCACAGTTCTACTGGAATGGTGCTGTGAACAGACACTTCAGGAATCTCTTGGGGATCTTTCAACTTTAGTAATGAATCCTCGAGTCCTATATGTTTCCTATGAACTGATGGCAAGATCTTTGAAGGCCTTGTTTCCATGGAGGGCTTCCATAAGGAAATGTTGAATATGTAGATTGATGATGTAGATAGCGTGAGATATCTACCTCCACAACAACATTTGCCCTTGGTGCCTTTCTAAGTTTTCTCCTGAGGGTTCTTTGTCCAGGTGATGGCATAGAGAAATGAACTAAATTATTT